CAAACGGAGCACAGCGACTCTCTGTAGATACGAGGAGTCCTGTTGGGGAAGGGACATGTTTTGAGCAGCTCATACAAGGTTTTCAAGACGAGAGTTTGCATCACATAGCTTTATGATCGAGTACACAAAGCGTGTGCTCAAGCCGGACTTGTGAGTTGAAAAATTGACTGTGAAGGGCTTAAGGAGCCATGCTTCACTCATTTAGCTGCAGAGCGTCGGTCAGTGGCACTCGTCGTAATTCATCGAGGAATTTATCAATGCGTGATTGCGAAAGAGAGAAGTGATGTTATTATTCGCTTAGCTACATGCACTTATCGTTACCAGAGATTAAGTAAGCGTATCCTTCACGTGATAGACCCTGCTTACTTCTTGATCTCGATCGAACTCTATGATTACAACCTTCTTTTGACATACCATGCACATTCGAAGGATTAGTGGCTCAAGAAGTGACGTGTAAGGCATACTAATACAAGCGGGTCTTAGTACAGTCCTGAACCCACTCTGCTGCGAAGAGAAAGAGTTTCAGCGCGGTTAGTCGACTGATTTGATCAGCGGGCTCGTCATCGGTTTGTCAGTGTTATTTTACTATCAGGTCCCCCTATTTTGGGGAAAGATGTATAAGCTGATAGCAAAGTGCTACGTCAATCTAAAGCGGACATTGTTGTGACAACAAGCCGCTGACGGCCGCAAACATTGTTGACACAACCTCAAGACATTCAGGTCTCATCTCAACTGATGTGCGTGGAGTGAGACATACCTTACTGTGCTAAGAGTGGCTGATGCACGCCGCACAGATCTGTTGCTTATGAAGTCAACTTTTGTCGATTGTTGAAAAAAATGACGCGAACGTTTTCCTCAATTATCATGATATTTGGCATCTTCGACCTCGAGGTATCCACATAGAGGCGGAAGCGTCACCAGGTGACGTCGCAGATCGATCAAAGTGATGCCCATCTATCGTCCGCACAACATACAATAGAGACGGTGTAGAACGACAGAGTGATTATTGACAGCACACGTTTCAGCGTCGTGATCAAACTGTACATGCAGGACGATGTACAGCAATCTATGAGACTACATTCTCGACATGGTGTATCTCTCTGCGTGAACATTGAATACGATTGATGGCGTCATTTAAGGTCTATAATATACGGTAAAGTTCTTGCTTGTCCATTACAACGGTGAAATTGAGTGACCTACGTTTCCAAATATTTTCGCCTGTTTAATTCTTGTGATAAGAATGGAGTCATCACCGTATTGCAAAAATGGATCTGAAGCCACCAGACCGCCCCGCGAATATTTATTGCTCTCACACTTCTATGTTGTTTGGACGTCAACCAATGAAAAAAGCATCATGGGGTGTATGAGCATGTGTACATCCGTTCGATAGTTGCACGTACAATATGCGGTAGGTGAAGACAATTCTTATGTATTGTATGAGTTTTTCCGTTTGTGTTATCTTGTGAGGATCTTTTCCTCTCGCGGTGTGCATTTTGATCTTTTGGCAGCTTTCTTTACTTTATAAAGCCCGACAAAAAGTGCTCTATATTCTTGATGTCAATTTGTTACATCGTATTATTCGCGATATATGTTCATCATATCCCCTTCGTAATGATGTTGATATATTTCAGGGCTTCCAGCCCCTTTCCAGTCAATTATCAAACACATTCCTCTGAACTCCCATCTGATTCTATCTCTTCTAGGTCTCCCTGTTGCTCGAAAACAGCTGCTGTTATCGTTTGCGACAAGCAAAATGACTGGTCGTCAAAGCTACAGAGCTACTTAATAAACCACCACGCGCCATGTCTGTCCGGAGGAACGTGCGTCTACGCCGCGAGTACCTCTACCGCAAGGGTCTCGAAGGCAAGGAACGCGCGCTATATGACCACAAGCAGCAGCTCAAGGAGGCTGTGCGCAATGGCAAGGCCATTCCGACGGAGCTGCGCAGCGCCGAGAAGAGTCTGCGCTATGAGATGGAGTACGAGGACGAAGCCCACGAGAAGCCGCTCAGCCATATCGACGACGAGTACAAAAACGCGGGCATGTTCGATCCCAAGATTGCGATCACTACGTCGCGTGAGCCGAGCTCGAGGCTCAAGCAATTTGCACAGGAGATTCGTCTTATCTTCCCCAATGCCATTCGACTTAATCGCGGCGCGCACACTGTCGGCGACGTACGTACTCAGCTCTGAACAACATGCATCAATGATGTATTGCCTAACGTATTGTGTTTGCGTGTGCATGCTCTTTGTTGCTACTGTTGTTGTCGCGGTCGGCAAGTTGGTGGAAAGTGCGAGAGCAAACGACTTTACCGATCTGATATTGGTCACAGAGACCCGTGGCGAGCCAGGTACGAGACAAAGAGAACCATGCAATGGGTCTTGGCACAGAGCATGCTTGACACCTCTATTGTCGCGCAGACGGTCTTGTGGTATGTCATCTACCGTACGGACCGACAGCTTACTTCTCACTCAGCAGTACGGTGCTGCGCCACGACATTGAAGAGCGCGCTACCGTTTCCGAGGCATACCCGCACCTCATCATTAACCAGTTTGAGACGCCCCTTGTACGCTCGTGACTTGCTGCAGATGTAGCTTTAGGCTGGAACTCATATCTGTTGTCGATGCTATTGCAGGGCAAGCGCGTTGCTAATATTCTGAAGCACTTGTTTCCAGTCCCGAAGCCTGATGCCAAGCGCGTTATCACACTCTCAAATGACAATGACTTTGTGTCGTTCCGGCACCACGTGTTCAAGGTGGTGGGGCGTGAAGTGGAGCTGCAGGAGTGTGGACCTCGCTTTGAGCTGCAACTGTACCAGGTAAAGCTTGGTACACTCGACCAGAAAGAGGCAGAGAATGAGTGGGTCTTGCGGCCGTACATGAACTCTGCCAAGAAGCGCCGTGTGTTGTAGCTGGCGTCAACCGGAGCTACACGCCTGTTTATTTGCGGAATATAGGTGCGGGTTCTTTTTTCACGCTGCATAGCTTGCGAAAGCTCAGAAACAAAGGCTGTCCATGCATCCGCTATCGCGAGATGGCCACAAAATCAAACAAATGTTTTTCGTTCGTCTATGGAAAGCAGCACTGACAGAGAGGTACGCAACTCACAGCGACACGTTGATTTCAGCCTGGAGAAAAGAGTCTCCAGGGATACGAGCAAGAATCTTACTGACCGGATCCACGGGCGGCGCGTACATCTCGAAAGTCGCTGGTGCCGTCGTGATCTTGCTCACGTCCAGGTGGAAAAAGGTCCAACAGCCCACTTCTACTTCCTGCGTGACAAGACTTCGGTGTCGAAGCTCCATAACCGCAACGCTACCTGTCCGCACGAAACGCAAAAGCGACGATTGTGAAACATGTCAGGAACGAATGAACAAACAAAACCACATACACGTCGGGGCTTACCGTCTTTAAGATGCTCAAGTGGCGTTTGTAGGTACCACGTGTTGCCAAACCACCAGTAATTGCCTCCAGTTTGAATGAGGGACTTCGGAGTGCGCTGTGCTGTATCGACGATAGCTCCTTTATAATCCATGATATAGAGATTGAAGTGTGGCGTCTCCATAATTGGGCATGTGGCAACAGCCACAGCACCAAGAAACACGGACACATAAGTACTGTCGTGCAGTCTATCAGGCGGGGAGGAAAGTGACGGGGCGGTTTGAGCCATTTTCTCATCGAGAACAGCTCCATCGGACTGAGATTCACCAGTATCAGCCGAACCCTCTTCAGCCTTCCCAGCATGAATCGCTGGATTGAGGATTTTTTTCAGATCCTCCTCCTCAGCGATTTCCATGGCTGAAAGGCCCTTTAGGTTCTTGATTCCTGAATCTGCGCCACGCTTCATCAGCGTCTCAACCAAGTCATAACGGTCCAGCTCCACGGCATAGTGTAGCGCTGTGTCTCCATTCTCGTCGACCGCATTCGGATCAGCGCCATTCTCAATGAGCCAGACACATACCTTCGCAGCCTCGAATCCTTCGTCCTCATCATTTTGTACGACAAGGTGCAAAGGCGTAAAGCCCAGCTTGTTCTTCATGTTGACGTACTCACGTCGCAGTCCACTGTCGATGCAAATCATATTGTGGTTCGGAGGACTCGTCGTGGTCACGCGCACGCCCTGCACTTTGCGAACGGCAAACATCCATTCGTGTATCTCTCGTTCGTCATCGGCCGCAAACGAAAGAACGCCATCTGGATTTTTGGCGCTCTTAAGACGCGGTGATCGAATCTCAAAGCAGCAGTCCACGTCCGACATACGCTTGATCGTAACATCGCACAACTCGGTCATCTGCAGCGGGAGTTTGTCTTTCTCCGTCCTGTAATAGGACAAGCATACCTCGTCCACCACCACGAAGCGTTTCTTGGCCCAGTGTGCACCGCTGGCCGTGCGCAAAAATCCCTTCTTGTATACCTCAATCTGGAGTGTTGTAGGCAGAACAAGGGGAAGCCCGCCGACGGAGGAGGATAGACGGCGACTGTTCCCTGTCTTCGCTACCGAAGACACGAGAGAGCGGCGACCATGATGTTTGGGCGCGTTGTGGTCACCGGGCCTGAAGCCTGGTTGCATCGAAAATGACGACGTCGGGCCAGTTGACATTCCACGCAGACGAGGACTGATCCCTCCCACAGGGCTACGATTGCCGATTGACACCCTCTTTGACGGGGAGCGATTCGACGGAGTCGACATGGAAACTGTGCTAGCACTGGAGATAGAACGAAATTTGACATCAGGCGGATCATCGCTTGCACTGCTTGTGTTACTCGAGCTTCGCGTACGAGCTGTCCCAAAGTCAAAGTGCCCATTGGGAGTTGAGTTTCGGTTAGCAACCCTTGCGAGCAATCGCACCATGTCCAAGTGCGCCAGGCGGCAGGCGTAGTGCAGAGGTGTGCTGCCCGTGATATCCTTTCCGTACACCAAGTCCTCAAGCTGTGGGGTTTCCTCGAGAGCAAAGCGTGCCAGGTTTAGGTCCCCATTCTTGGCTGCCACGTGGATCAACGACATCATGTCGTGGTCACGATCACGAACCCTCAACATTCCTGGCATCTCTTGCGCAATGTGCAGTACCGTGGTCAGATCGTAGGCGTTAGCGGCACCGAACAATGCCTGAGTGCGGTTTCGCATGCGCACTCGAGACATGAATATCCTAACAACAGCAAGCACTCGTGCCATTGACCGGCGTCGAACTTCTGCAAGTTTATGGTCTCTCTTCCGGCGAAACACGCTTTGTACCATAATGATCCGCTGCATGGTTTGGCGGTACATCTTTCGCTGGACGTAGCCTCGATAAAGTGCCTGAGTTCTTATGACTCCACGGCGAAAGCGAGCAAACTGGCGGCGGCCTAAGAAGGCGCGCACAGCGAGTTGCAACACGTGCACAGCTGACCTCACCTTTAGGTGCTTTGTACGCTCGACTGTCATGCGCATGAACGCTTTAATCGTAATGATCTTCTCTCGCGTATCACGGTACTTCTTTGCTTGAGTGTAGCCACGCCAGAGCGACTGTAACAGTATCACCTGTCGATCTATCTTTTTGTACTGCTTACGGGCATAATGCATTCGCCAAAGAGACTGCAGTAGAATAATTTTCTTGCGCTCGTCGTTATAACGCTGACGACAAATTATCATTCGCCCGAACGCCTCAATGCGCGTTGCCATCTTCTTCTCCAGCAGAAATCTACGGCGCACGAGAGACCGACGAATCATAGCTTGAGAGTTAATAGTAGCTTCCCGGCCCTTCAGGTATTCCGTGCGAACGCGATTAGCTCGCACGCGCGCTTGAATCATTATGATACGTCGCCGCGAGACTCGAAAGAAACGCCGGGCCAAGAATCCGCGAACCACTCGCGAAATTTGGATCTGAGCCTCGCTGCGCACAGCCACTCGCATACGGGCTTTCTTACCGTGCTTGAGGCGGGCGTTGAAGCCACGGCCCACAGCGTGTAGTACGATAGCTGCCTTTTGCATATCACGATACTTTTGCCGTGCAACATAACCCTTGTACCGAGAAGCAATCGTATTCGACGCATTACGCATCTCCATAAATTCGGCTCGCTGCTTCCGCATCTTGCGAGCATTTGCGATCTTCGCTGCAGCGTGCCTTTGTTTGAGGAAATGCTTGCGTGCTAAATGACGGCGCACCTGGGCTTGGATCTTCGTTGCAGCAGGCGGGGCGTTACGCAGATAAAGTGTATACCGGCGTGCTGCATTACCTCGAACGTGACTCTGAACAAGAACAGCTGCCTTGCGCAGGCGCTGGTACTTTCGACGCTGAATGAACTGCTTTGCCACAGCGTTAAGCAGTGTTATACGATGACGCGTAACCCGATAGCGACGCCTTGCCAAAATCATTCGGACCATGGCCTGGATGCGGATCACCTTATTTCGCAGATCCAAATACCTTTGACGCTGTTGTCGCCCGCGAACGTGCTTTTGGATAATAGTAGTGGCCTTGTGCAAAAGCTTGCGAGCTTCGTTGTCTAGTACACGCAGTTGACTATCGCGGAGGAAAACCTTTTTGTGGCCTAGCTGCCAGTTCTCACGCGAAATAAAACGTAGTATAACTTCACAGTAGTCTCTGTCCGTCATGTTTGCCTGCTTATCTTTTGCGATGCCGCGAGTCAAGATTTCGTACTTTTGGTGAAACTCTTCGAAAAGTCGCCGAACTGGGAAACCCGACCGACGAATACGCACAGTTTCCATAACACCGAGGTACGTCAGTTGATTGAGGATCAGCTCAGCGTTCCATCCTTGTGGAAAACGCAAGCTGTTGGGCTTAACGCAGCGCACAAAAGACGGTGTCGTAGCTTTGAGCTCCACCATCAAATCAGCCATCTGGTCGCGAAATTTTCGACCGACCGTCATCGTACCAGTCATCTTATTACCTGCTTTCCGAATAGGCTTGCGCGGGTTGGCTCCACCAGCTTCCACGCCTGCTTGGGTAATCGGATATAACTTTCGCAAAAACTCACACTCTGAGCTGTCCATAAGTGAGATCAGATCGTTGTGCAGCGAGTCATCATTCTTTTCCAGGAAGCCAGTAACGTTGTAGGTGACTTCTCCAGCATAGTGGTGAACCACAAATTCATCCGTAGCAAAACGCGGCTTTGAGTAGTAAACTGCCGTGTCCCCCGAAACCTTGCTCTTCGGCAAGTGAGTTTGGTGTAGTTTCTGGATAAAGTTTTCGTCGCTGGCACGTCGACCAAGCATTCCCTGTTCATCCAAGAGGGGCAAGATACCCAGAGGCTTCTTGTCGATCAGATCCAAGCACGGCCCATTGTCTTTGAACTCCAGACGAGAAAAGTCGATGCCTTCCTCAACATACACTTCCTGCTCATAAACAAACACGTGCTGATTAAACTGCTGCTGTAGCATTTCGTTCGTGTAGTTGATACATAATTGCTCAAACGAATTCACTTGCAAGCTCTCGAAGCCGAAAATATCTAGGATTCCAATGAACCTGGAGCCCGTGCCTACACCGAGACTGCTCCCGACATAAGCCGTTGATTTGTTGATTTGAGATACAAGCCAGTCGAAGATCTTGCTAAAGAGGTCCTTTGCTAATCCGTTGCGTGACTTGACAGACTCAACAGCAGTAAGTGCGATCTCCGCCACAGATCCACGCGCACCTGCAGACATTGTGCGCTTTGTTAGAGCGAACTGAAGCTCACTTGGCGTCACCATCATCAACTCGGCCAACTTCGTGACGTCTTCGGGGTGAGCGATTTCAGACTCATTTTTTGCATTCTCCGTAAACTCCAAGTTACCTAAGTGCAAAACACAAGCCACGAGGCGAAAAATAGAGTACTTCAGGTCTGGCGGGATACCCACAGTGCCCATGGCTTCCACAAGTTCTCGAAAGTCTTTCTTGTCGTTGATCTCTGGCACGTGAACGCAATTTCCTTGATTGAGAAAGCAGAACTCACTTGCAGGCTTTAGATAAAGAGCTTTCTTTTCTTCTGCAAGCATGCCCGCACAAATCTGGTAGAAGATATGGTAGTTGCGCTCAGCCTCTGCGCTACCGACGATCCGACTTTTTTCGAGCAAAAAGTGGCTCGTCGTTGCGCCCGAGATCGTGCCGTCCGCATGGTAGAAAATCTTGATGAATTTGCCAAAACGACTGCTGTTGTCGTTGCGAATTGTCTTCGCGTTTCCAAAAGCTTCAAGCAACGGATTACTCTGTAGCACACACTGCTCCACAGACGATGCATTGGCCTCCTCTTTTAGCACCTTGGGCGTCTTTTTTCCAATCTCCGAGATGTTGGCCAAATACTGCAGTACAACAGCAAGAAGACACACAGAGAGAAAGACAGCAGTAACGAGAAAACAAGTCAGGCCGACGGAACTCTCCGGCAGGAAAAGTGCTCAGCACTCGGTAGAAAAAACGTCGGCTCGTACCCGCATAATGTACTTGGACGCTTCTGTCTTGCCCGCTCCGCTCTCGCCCGAGACGAGAACGGATTGACACCTGCCGCTTTGCATCATGGCGTGGTACGCCCCGTGCGCCGTCGAATAGACGTGCGGTATCGGGTTCTCACTGAGTTTTCCAATGACCGAGTCGAGCTCGGGGAAGTTGTAGAGCATGGGAATGTTCTTGTACGGGTTGATCGAGATGAGGATGTCGCCCGTGTACGTGTAGATCTGGTCCTGGAGGTAGCGTCGCCGCAGGAGGTCGAGCAGCGGCGCCTCGTGCAGGTTGTCCATCTCTGCGACATTCCTCAAGTCGAGCGCGTGCGACGGGTCGTACGGGTGCACTTGTGCGACGGTAAACTGCTGCTCCACGTCGGCGTCCGGCAGCATCACGTGGAGCTTCTCGCCATCGTCTTCGACCACAGTGCCGAGCTGCCACACGTTGCGCGGGTCGGGACACCACACTTTCTCCCCCTCGCGCCGCATCAGCCGCTGCTGCTTCGTTCGTCGTCAAGAGACGGAGAGAGAGAGAGAGACGGGTAGAGCGAGAGAGAGAGAGAGAGAGAGAGAGAGAGAGAGAGAGAGAGAGAGAGAGAGAGAGGGGAAGAGAAAAGGCCAAGTGAGCTGCTCAACGAGTGCGGTCACGTCGGCGTTTCTGTGAAAAGTAGATGCGATTTCCGACGCAGCAACTCAAAAGGCGAGTGGAAAGATGGGGAAAAGGCCACGATAGAAACGTATCGCGCGCGGTGGTCGGATAGAAATCGTCCCGGCTTTGTGTGTGTGCATGGAAGTGGAGAAAGTGAAGAGGGGTTAGGCAGTCGGGCCGTCGATGTGAGAGGGTGGATCCCTCGAGATAACGGGCAACGCACCAGCGATAATCGCACTTAGGCGAACGCCTCGACACCAAACACAGCATGCAGCACCACTGGCACACGAGTGAGCTCGCGGCCGCCGTCAAGTACCGAGTGCTACAGGGCGGAACAGCAGATGGCTACAAGAGTCGACTCGTGGCGCGTGTCGGTGTGTCCAGTGAGTACGTGGAGCCACTCGTCGACCGCGCGTTCGCCCTGCATCCCGCCATGTACACGGTCCTTACGAGCGAAGACGATGGCGATCCGAAGGAGCTGCCGGATCTTATTGTACGTGGCGCGTTGTTAGTATTGTCAATTGGATGCGCTTTTGCGTCGCCGCTGCCACTCTTACTAACAGTTTTGCTGCTGCTGCTGCTGTTGTTGTTGTTGTTGTTGTTGTTGTTGTTGGTAACGGTCGGTGTTGTTGTGCTGTGCACGTAGTGGGACGAGTATGAAAATCTGGACTGGACCAATATTTTGACGGGTAGACTCGTGGCCAACGCGTACTGCGTACGCAAAGGGCTGTCGCGCAAGGCACAACTATCCATTTACCTGTCCAAGTACATCAAGAAGCACGATAGGTGCATACTGAGCAAGGCCGTGCCGCGCACTGTGGTACTGGACACGTGGGAGGCGCATGACGATAGCATGGCGCAGTTTGGCATCTCGTTCCGCCAGCGATTGGATGCGTGTTTGTGGGAAGTGAAGCAGATACTTGAAACGGAGACGAAGACGTGGATCATGAAACCGAGTGCGACGAACAAGGGCGCCGAGGTGAACGTGATCAAAGACTTTCGAAAGTTGCGCACGATCGTCAACGAGTGGACCGATATCCGGGAATGGGTAGTCCAAGAGTACATTGAACGACCACTGCTGCTGCGTGGCCGCAAGTTCCATATCCGCGCCTACGTGCTAGCTGTTGGTGGTCTCAAAGTGTTCGTCTACCAACACTGCCTCGTGCTTTCCGCACTCGAGCAGTACTGCGAGAAGGACACGGACAACAACTACTCGCATATTACGAACACTTTCCAGCAACAGAGCCACCCGGAGTACGTCGAGAGCGAGTGTGTGATGTTGCTGGACGACATCGAAGAGATTCTTGCTGAGCAAGGCGTCGTCGATACTGCAAGCAAGAAAGCCAAGATTCTGGTCGACGTTGGTCGCATTACTGCCGAGGCGTTTGACGCATTCAAGGGCGAGTTCTCGGTGTTTCAACCGCTACCCAATTGCTTCGAAGTTTACGGCGTAGACTTTATGGTTGACAAGGATTTTGACGTGTGGCTTCTGGAATTCAACCCCGGTCCGGACTTCAAACAAACAGGTGACCGCTTGCACTTCGTTATCCGCGACCTCATGGCCGACACGCTACGTGTCGTTACCAACGAGTTTTTCTCGGAGAACAAGGATGCGTCAGCTAAGGAAGCTGAACTTGGTGCATTTGCTAAGGTGTATGACCAGCAGTGGGGAGCTCTTTCCAAGGGTTCGTCAATGAAGTTCGTGGATTCCGCAGAGGCTAGCAACCAAATAACGGTGCACATGGACAAACTTTAGAACATGGCAAACCATTGCGATTCGCAGCACCATTTTCTTGTCGCAATCAAAAGTAACGATTCTGTGTTGCTGAAGACAGAAACCCGATGCCCTTTGCTGCAGACGAAAGCAAGTTCGTGCCTGATGCCGCAGCAGAAAAGATGTGTGAGCTGGTCGACGAAGACAGCAGATTTTGAAGTTTCGAGGCCGACGGCTGCACGCTAGACCCATCGTCTTCAGCCGATCGTTCGTGGAAGCGAGAAGTGCTATTTGCTCGGCTTCGGCTCTCTGCGGTGGCATCCTCACTCGGAGGCGATACGCTGCATCTGAACTTACGGCGATTCAAGGGAACAGGAAGCAACGAAAACCTAGCAACAGGCTCTGCGATACGAACCAGCGGCCTCGTGTCATGAGCTCCGATGACGATTTCTTTCCCATCTGGTGTTTACAATGAGGAAAAACGGTCAGTCATTCGGATTCTACAGCGCATAACCACCAGCCACAACTTACTGATCTTGTTGATGTCATTTGACTCCGACAGTGATGAAAAGAGTAGTCGGCTTTTCCGAAATTGCAGCACGACGTTCTCAATCAGCTGAGGGCCATATATCTCCCAATCCACGGGGTCAATGAACTCTCGCATCCGTTCGAACAGGCCTTTCAGCTTCAGTAGCCCAGGTGAGCGGTTTTCCGTGTCAAGCTCATCGCCCCATCCGAAACGGATAAAATCCGAAAAACCCAACGTCGCGCGTACGAAATACATATCGAAAAGAAACTGCTGAATACAGCATTCACCAAAGTTCAACACAGAGTCTTTTTGACTTGCTTTGGCTTTGACGAGCAGAGAAACTGCAGCATCATACACGGTCACGATGACAACAGTAAGTCGCTCCACCAGAACGTCGCGCATTGTGCGCTGCATCAGCTTCATCTGCTCATCTTTTGCGCTGCCGGGGCTCTGGATCAACCGATTTGCGTTATCAAGGCTATAGCAGCATGAAAACAGAAAGCTCGATACTGTCGGCGTTTCAGACCATGGCAACCAGACTTTTTCGTCACCTAGAGCCATTTCAGACTCAGAAGATGAATCATCGATGTCTTCCCCAAGACCTTCGTCACAGATCACTTGTTCTACCCATCCTTCGTGGCTGGCAATCCATTCCTAAACGCATGTTAACCACAACTAATCAGCAAACACAATCGCATACTAAGCTGATCCATGCGCACTGTACCTCATTTGTTGATTCGTACTGCTCGACCTGCATGAGCTCGCGCAGCGGCTCAACCTTCTGCTGAAGCAGGATGTCAGCCCACGCTTCACAATGCTTTGTCGAAAGTCCGTGCATGACGTTGACGAACGTTTGTGAATATGATGCTTTTCGCATTAGCTCCGTCACCAGATAAAATGAATGCCACCCTAAACTACCCACTTGCCGCAAATCTTCGAAAATAAAACATACTCGAAAGTCTTCGTGACCTCCCGTAAGTTCCTAGCAAAACGGAAAATTAGCTGCTAGTCGTTACCCAACTCTCACTTCAAGCAACCCATACCTTTAGAGCACACTTTAGCTGCGCTTTCTCCACAAAACCGTTGTTTGCATACTTTTCGAATGTTGGACCGATGATCGAGGGTGCAGGGTCGTTTTCTGGAATCAAGACGGCGCTTGGATGTCCCGGAAATAAGCTGTTTATTCGGCCCGGACACTCAGCCACGATCCCAGCAAATATGTTGGAAATATGAAAGTGGACGCTCAAAAGTCGAGCTTCGCTTTCCACACAAGCGTGATTGCGATTCCGACAAAATGGATACTCTTGCTCAACGAAGATGACCAGCTTCAACAACGTACGAAGAAACTCTTCCGTCAGTACGCTTTGAAGATCACTTGCATCGATATCGGCAGCCACTTTTTGGATCTTCTCAAAGTGGTCATAAAAGGTTAGGTTCTCCAATCGATAGTCCGTTCGAGAAATGTTAGCCACCGTCTCGTGCACGCACGCGCGGAACTGACTTTTGATTGCCTCCAGAGCTTCAACAAACGAGTTCTGTACCAGATCGCGCGTACGTTTTCGAAATGCCTCGGCGTAGAGAACAGAGAAAACGGACTCAACAGGTACTGCCGATTGCTTCTCTACACTTCCAGATTGGTGAGTGTGAGCTTTGCTGCAGAGCTGTTGCCACACATTTACGCTCTGGCAACCACCAAATGTGTTATCGAAGGCAACTAACTTGGACCGAGCTCGAGATAGCAATGTGATCGAATCGATACTCGAAATTATCGCCGACACTACCTCGGGTATCTGGATCATGCACAAGTACGTCAGAGAAGGTCGCGGTAGGTAGAAGATAGATATCAGCTTTGCAAACCTGTTGTTGATGCTGGCGAAACCACTTGCTTAGCCTTTCCAGCACCTTTCCTGACGATGTGCATGCATCAAGGTCATCCCTAAAGCTCAGTGGAAGCTTCGGCATTGAGCTTAACAGCCTGATGTCCTCACCGAAAATTTCCTCCGTTTGTGTAATCGTCCAGCAAATGCTTTTCAAAATAACCATCAATGTGCGTTCTTTCCGAGAATGCGTCAGCGCAAACCATCTGTCGCTGTTTTTTTTGTAAATAGGGGTCAACCACGTCGAGCGGCTTTCGAAAAACGCCTCGATGGCTTTGTCAGCGCTCATTTGTGGAGTACTCAGCACCACGAGCGTGCACAAATTGTCTGCATAAAACGAACTATTTTTGCCCCGACAAGTCAGATAGCTATTCGCACACGCCAGTATCCTCTACGCACAACACACATATCAGATAAGCGTCTGTACAACAACAATAGTAAGTATCGGAACACTGACTCACCGGTCGAAAGCTCTGAATGCACGCCCACTGCGACAGCAGAAATGGAAACTCCGTTTCTGCACTCTTGCTCACCACCCATTGATCACGGATCCTGTCCGCCTGCTCATAGAGCTCTAGCGCCTGTAGCGACATTCCTTCATCCAAAAGTTGCCACATCTTTTCCGTGACTTCCACCAGAAACGCCACTTGGTCTACATCAGTGGCTTCCCCAACTTGATCGCCCTCTTTCGACGTGGCAGGTACTGCATCCGGCGGTTCCACACATCCGAGTTGTTTTTCAACATCCAAGGCATCCGATAGAGCCATTTCCATCTGCTGCCACATCTCGGGCATCTCCTTGAGCGACACCTCAAGACGCATGGCGGCCGAGTGCATCGTCACGATTTCGTCCGCCGACTGGATGAGGTCGCGGTATCGTCCGCCAATCATCTTCTGCATCTCTTCCGTCTTCTTTTCCTTCTCTTTTCTGCAACATTCGACGTCAGTCGGTCACGCCTGAGTCCGAAATTACACGCGCAAGAGGTCTCTTTTCCTCGTTCCTGAACGCCTAAGAGCGCCAGTAAAAAGCAGCAGCACGCACCTCGTCTTCTCCAAAAGAACCTTTGCATCTGCGATAGACAGACGGCGCAGGAAGTCCGACGCCTCATCGCCGCGCTGCGCGTGATCACGACATGTTGCACTCCTCGTCATCGGCTCAGGTGCTTTAGCTTTTCTAAGACGCCGCCTCGTGTTCGTACTTAAACGAGTACATCGGTTACACGATCGTTGTGACAGCGACCCCCGACACAACATGGGTCTGTTTCCGCTTTGTTTATCAAGCTAAACTGAGTCCTGCAATGCCGATGACTTTTTTAGCTCGGAGCTTTTTTTCAATAGCTCATGACGAGTCGGACGGCTTCCAACGGCGCCTCGTCCCGGAGCGGATCTCGAGACCCGTCGGCCGCACTCTCGAGCAATGAGTCAGAACGTTTGCAGCTACAGACTGGACGTCCGATGGTACGAGCCGAAACGCCCGCGCGGGTCTTTTTTCCTGAGAGGCTGTCGATTGAATAGGAGATCATAACCGTCTCACAGCTCCTCACAAAGTCTTTTGTTCGACAGCTGCGTGTCAACCGAAGCGGTGGTGCTGGTGGTAAGAGTGCTACAGATGATGTTGAAGGCGACCGAAACGCGCAGACAACGTCGGCTTGGCAAGGACGAGAAGGATCTGATGGAGCAAACGCTCATGGTGGGTGCTTTGTGTGCGTCAGGTCGGACGGTGCTTTTCTTGCACCGGTGCTGCAATACTGGAATCGATGTGATGGCAATGTCTTTTCTGCTCTGCTGTCACAATAGGGAACATGAACAACATGCGGCGGTATCTACGAGCAGCGCGGACGCTCTATGAGGTGCAGTACCAGATGAAGCGGCCCTCGGCGATCCTGAAAATGAAGCCCAATTCAGTGAGACGTCGCAACTGACGTGTTGCTGTTGAAGACGTACAACAATTGTGTCACTGATGATGGTGTCGTTTGTTGCATGTGTGGCAGTATGGGCTGAAAAGCCGATCTACGTTTGACGCGTTGGCGGCGCTGGTGTCGCCTCTCCGAGCGCACCAAGTTCTTGGTATAGTTGAATCCTGTGTGCTTTGCTGCAGCTCTCTTCTTTTTGTGCTGGTTCTTATGTCCGTTGCTGACACAAGAGCAGATGACTGGACAGGAATCGAGATCGGTCTGTTTGAGGAGGCCCATGAACGCTTTGGAAAAGACTTCTACGCTATTGCTGGGCAGGTACCGACCCACTTGACTTTTCGTTATAGTGCTTGCCGTGCTGAGCCGTAGGATGACCGATCGTTGTGCGTTTCAGATTCCAGCGAAAAACGTAAAGGATACTGTTGCGTTTTATTATATTTGGAAGAAACATGGATCGTGCACGAAAACGCGCGACGGTGATACCCTTTCGAACGACTTTCCACGGGAGTCTGAACCAGACGTGTCTGTAGCGACACTGAAGCTCATGGGTCGTCTTCGAAGTATGTGACTCTGTAAGTCTTTGCAATATCTGATCGAAATCTAATGAATCTGCAACATACAGAGCGACAGCTGTGCACTCAAGATTACTTTGACGCTGCTCGGGCTATGTATTCTCCTCGACCATTGTGTGCGTCGAACCAGAAGAGACACAAGGTTTCCGCGTTTGGACTACAGCGCATTGCCTGCTTCCAGCAAGGCCTCAAAGGCGTTTCGTCATTGCGTGCACCATCAGTGCTAGGTAGGCAACTTTGCGCTTGCGCAAGTTCGTGTGTGAATGCATATCTGACAGTGTCTCCCGCGCAACAATAGACACGTGGACTCCGTTCGAGATCAGGTTGTTCGAAGTTACGATCGAGTGCCGTGGCAAAGATTTTCCGCACATTGCAGATGTAGTACGTAAACGCAAACTGAGAGGGAGGAACACGTGCGTACCAACAACAATGGCTGATAGCGCTATTTGTGCAGATCAAGAAGTCCTGCAAAGACGTTGTTGCATTTTACTACGTGTGGAAAAAGGATTCCCACTATCAAGCCGTGAAGAATCGCTGGGAAAGAAAAAGTGAAGCAAGCTCAAGGGAGGTATCCCCCAGCTGACTGAACAGAAGCACACGCGCTTTTCACGCACTATCTAGACTAGAGGTCGTCAGTGCGTCTCGATCAACGCATGGAAAGCTCGTTTTTTACAGTCCGATGCCTGACACCTATTCAATCGATCGAAATCACCTCCTGCTCCACAAGCAGACCTTCCCGCGGATAGTTCTGGAGCGTCTTGCACGAGGTGCACACCCACGAGGCCGGAGGTAGCTCCTTCATGTTGATGCAGCACTTGTGAAACATGCGCTGGCACATGTCACACAGTACCAACTCGTCTTCATTCTCCGGACGCGAGCAGATCTCGCAGTTCTCCGAGTCCATCATATACGTGCGCGAGTTGTACACTGTGGGCTGCGAGGTGCCGGGCTCCTGCTTGTGGATTTGCTTATGCTCGATGAGTTTCATGTTGCGGTAGACCTGAAAGCCGTGCAGCGCGTGTCCAATGTTCTTCAGATCGAGCTTCTGCTTCATAAAGAAGGGAAACTTCACCTGAAGAGCCTTAAACCCCTGCAGTTGGCGCTGTTGCAGTAATCGTGCAAGCGCGACGTATTCCGACGGACGTGCACGGCTTTTGCCAAAAATTTGCACCAGGCTCTTTCTCGCATCCAAGGTGAGCCAGACGAACTCGTCCAAAGGGAGCTCCTCGGACAGCATGTGCAGTTCCGTCAGATCGCAGACGACTTGCCAGCACGTAAATGATCCAAGCGCGTTGTCCTGAAACTTGCGGAGAGCGTCAAAGACGCCCTCGTATGTAGTGCATCCCTTTACCAACATCGTCGTGTCATCAATGCTTTGCAAAAACGTCTCCAACGTCTCCAAATAGGTGGTCACAGTAAGCTCACGGCCGCCCGCCAATATGTCGCAATCGTCCGTGCGTTTCGCCATAGCCAGTAGACTGAAAGCATCGCAGTTGATATGTTAGAGGCCGACGCGAATGTATAACGAAACAAGCAAGATATACCGCTTCTTGAATAGAGAAAAGTCGTCCGAGCAGGGGATGCCTTTAAGCTTGTAAAAGGTTTCCAGCTGATTGCAATACCGAAACACAACCGCCATCCACAACACCTCGCGGAGACACAGTTGCCCATGGTGGGCTTGTTGCCATCGAAGGACATGCTTTCGAAAGTATGCTGTGCTGCGGTCCAGCTCGCGGTAAATGTTGCAAGATGCTGCAGTATGATGATTCACACACGCCAACATGTTAGAACCATGAGTCGGCCATCACACGTCAGAGCCTACATAGCAAGAAACATCCCCTCTATCTTGCTACCTGCTCTCGATCAGATACGTACCAAATTTAATCAGGCATTTGTCCACACGCGGCACGTCGTTGCTAATCGAGTAGCTGTGCCACATTCCATGGCGTTGATACACAAAGTCATAGAAAGCAAGCGCTCCGAGCCACCAGCTTTTATAGCCTGTACCGTCCAAGTCGCCAAGTAGCTGGTCACCCAAGAAGTTGAGCGTGCGCCGCTGACGCTTGGCAGGTGCTACGTTCTCCATACTCGAGCGTGTACCCAGCGCGTCGCCATCCACGTCCACACGCCGCTTTTTGTGACGCAGAAGCTTTTCTTCGCACTCTTTGCTGCACACGGGCGTCACCGAACCGCGACAGCTGACCGCGTACTCGGAATCAGCTGCGTGGCACATGGAACAGATCGTCGGCTTCGCGTTCTTCGCGTCACTGCTTGAGGGTCGCATCCCCTTGCGCTCCAGGTACTTGGCCTCGCACCCAACAGAGCACACGGGCACCGGGGGCGCCTTCTTGACCGTATTCGTCGACATGTACTCGGGATTGGGCAGTTGGCAGATGAAGCACTCGGTCAGATTCACACTCGACGACGGCGTTGCAGCGTCATCATCGGCCAATCCGACAGCTTCACCGTCTTCACTATCGGTCGAGTGCGCGCTGCTACTGGAGCTGGCGTTGAACCAGCGACTCAGCTGGAACTGCTCCCCAAGGTCGACCATCAATTTTCTCTGTCGTCGTCTCAGCTGCACCAAGAAAATCAATCCGAGCGGTCTTTTGTAGCTCTTCGTCGAAAAAAACGTACTTTGGCAGTAAATTACGTGCAAGATAAAAGCGCGCGGTTGGGTTTGTTTGCAAGTCGATGGAGCTCCATTGGTGCATTACATACGTGCAACAACGAGGTCGTCCGACTTACGGCCATCACACTCGCTCGACTACTGCGGTCAATAGTCCTTCCTGAAGTAGTACTTACGCCCCGAGTTTCGTCGAGAGGATCTGCTCGAGCTTGACAATGTCGGCGCTGAAGCCGCGAATGCCCTCGGCGAGTTTTTCCGTTGCCATGGCGTCCATGTTCATGCTCAGACGAAAGTCCTTCTCCGTGTACGACACCTTCTCGTCCGTCGAGGCCTTGGCAGCCGTCTCGGCATCCAATTTCTTGTCCAGCGTGGCCGTCGACTTGGTGAGCTCGTCCAGGAGAGCGGGGGAGATCGTGAGGCGATCACAGCCTGCGAGCTCAATGATCTCGCCCGTGTTGCGGAAGCTCGCACCCATGACGATCGTCTTGTAGTCGTACTTCTTGTAGTACTGGTAGATCCTCGTGACCGAGACGACGCCGGGGTCCTCGTGCGACGCGTAGCTCTCCGTGCCCGTCTTGGCCTTGTGCCAGTCCAAAATGCGGCCTACAAATGGCGAGATGAGCGTCGCACCCGCTTCGGCGCAGCCCACGGCCTGGGCAAAGCCAAAGAGCAGCGTCATGTTGCACGAAATGCCCTCTTGCTGTAGCTGTTTGCACGCCTGGATGCCCTCCCACGTGCTGGCGATCTTGATGAGGATGCGGTCCTTCTGGATACCGGCCTTCTCGTAGAGCTCAATGAGGCGGTGCGCACGCGCGATTGTGCCTTCCGTGTCAAAGCTCAGCCTGGCGTCGACTTCTGTCGACACGTAGCCCGGCACGATCTTTAGGATCTCGACCCCAAAGTTCACCGAGAGCTTGTCGATAATGTAGCCAAGACGCTCCGTCTCGGACAGCTCGGCCGCCAGGTCTTTGCCGTACGCGACAGCGTCGTCTACGAGGGCCGCGTACTGCTCCATCTGCGCGGCTTTGAACAGCAGCGACGGGTTTGTCGTGGCATCTTGCGGCTTGTACTTGTGGATCTGCCCAAAGTCGCCCGTGTCGGCCACCACAGTCGTGAACTGCTTGAGCTGGTCGAGCTGCGAGGCTTCGCGGAGCTTCTTGTTGGGGGAGGCCGCCATTGGGTATGCGATGGAGTGTTCTCAAAGACCGGACGCGGATCGCTGGCAGATTCGAAAGTGCCACTGCTGCAGAGGGGGAGGGGCCACTGGGACAACTTTCGACTCGGAGAAAGTATGCGATTTTGCGACGCGAGCCGCCTGAGTAACGGCAGGCGAACGTAGGCAGTTCCTACGTCAGCAGCATCTTTGCTAGTTTTGCAATACATAACCCCATAGTAAGTTCGTGTCGACGAACAACGGCCAGGAATATATCTGCCCTTCACCTTCACTAGACAATCGATGACGCAAGAGGGCGTCGTCACATCTCTATTGACAAAGTGGTACCATTGACGAGGGAGTCGAGAACGCGGTCACTGCATGACGACCGCAGCTTTTATATCGCCGCCACAAACGTCGAGACGGTCGTCTCATACATACCGAAGAAGACAAAGCCGCCGATGCTGATCCACATCGTGCGCGGACCGACGCCCGAGAATAGACGTTTTAAGCCTTCGTCCGTGTACACGCGCGACAGTGTGCTCAAGGTGCCCTTGTATGGAACGCCATTGACGTCCTTGCCAAGCATCAAACGCGTCTTGACCACGTCGAGCGGGGTCGTGATGGACGCCGCTACACCACCAGCAATTGACCCACAAAGCGCACCCTGCAGTGACGATACGGGGGCATTCTGCTTCATTGACCATTGGTACTGCAGGTGCAAGTACAATGGTGTGTGAGTCTTGTGTGTACGCGCCTGCGCACCACCAGACTACCTACGAAAGCTACTGTACCTTTAGCCCTTCCCAGAGCGGAAACTGAATGAACGAGAATGGAATCTCGCGAGCAATCATGCTCCAGTAGCCTCGGTAAAATCCCGCCAGACCTTCAGTTAACCGAATCTCACGCAGCGCTTCCAGTAGTGTCTTGTAGACACCCGTTTGCATGCGCTGCTTTACAATTTCAGTAGGAGTCCGCACCAAACATGCTGCCTGCACACGATCACGTAGAAGACCGCGTCAGCACCGATCAACCTTCTCTGCGCGACGCAACAACACTGTCGCTGAATACAGCATCGTTCCCTCGTACCATACCATCTCACCCGAAGCAGCAGCTGCCATATGCACGAAGGGAGAATGCTTCTGTGTCGGAGCGATCGTGCCAATGAGCAACTTGGAGTTTTCGTACATGCCAAAGAAGAGCGCACCTACATGCAGTTCCACAGAGCGTGTAGACGTGAGTCAATCATCGTAGTTAGCCCGCTGAAATCAAGTTCGACTCGTAGTCGTGCAGCGAGCAATACACAGTGTGCCTACCCCCTGGAGCCGAGCCTGCAGCCGCAGCCGACAGCCCCGAGTAAACGCCACGGAAGCCGCCAGCTTTGAAAAACCCGTGGGCAGACTGCAGTCGTGTCTTTATAGTATCAAGTGGAAACAGTGCAATGTCCACGGACGTCCCAGCTACAGCTCCGCCCTACAAAACAGCAGCACATCAACGAGTGAGAGACACAAAAACAAACAACATGCGCATTGTAATTACAAGAAGACAGACCATAAGCGCGATGACAAAGCTACGCGCAGGGGGTGCATTGTCAGCTGCCATCATAAGGTCCTCGATATCGCTGTTCCAAGTTCACGTGGCCAAGCGACAGTGGAGTGCGTCAGGTGATAACCGACTTCTTGGGTCGCTCCGTCCCGTGTCTGTCTGCGTGTGTGTCTGTGGTAGTCCGGCACACGCACGCGCGCACGTGATTGGCTCAAAAGCGATGACACGTGAACAGCTCATCAAAAGCAAATGGTTGACGCTATCGAGCAGCGGCGGTCTCTCTCCCTCACCTCTGATACTAATCATTACTATCCGTACAAGCTATTATTGCTGCAGCAGCAATTCGAAAGTAATAATGGCTACATCAGCAGTTGTCTGTAAGTACGCCCGAGTTCGCATTGGCGTCAACGAGCAACGACGTTGCCTACATCGGCGACGAGCACGGAGCCTGAGATTTTTTGCCAGACGTACTTTCGCTCCGAGCGTGACCGCTACAAATGCTCGTCGAAAAAGTTGCGGTAAAGCTAAACTACTTTTTGCTGATTGAAACGTCTGGACTTCATTTGACGCCGTCTCTACGCTCACGTGCGACATTGCAGACACAAAAGGTGGACGCGCAGCGGCAATTGATTGTACAGGAACAACGACGTTGATACCAAGACGCAGCAGGTGGGTGAGGCATGGTTGAAGTGCGCACGCATGGAGGCCTCGAGACACAGTAGTCATGCTTTGGTAGCACTTACGGGACTCACAGCTGACCGAGTGACGAACATCACAGCACCACAGATAAGGAAAGCAGCGTTGACATGCTAACGCTTTCTCTAGCAAATGGACAACCCTAGCCGGGAGTCACAAGTCACCCTCCGCGCTCGATAGCAGAGAAAGCTGCATAACTTCCTCCTCCTCCTCAATCAACTCCATGTCACCGACCACACTTTGTTGTTGGTTGTTGCTTGTGTGATTTTGCAAACGGCAAGATCGACCGCCGTCCCCGTTTCCGTCATCCTTCTCGGCATCACATCTGCAGCAAAAATGAGTTGCTTCACCACTCGACGAGACCACATCAATACTGTGGCTATGACACCCCACAACGCATATTGCATTTCCAGCCGCTAACCCCCTGACCATCCGTGTTTGGGCACGTGAATACCAAAACTCGACCCAGTTCTCTGGACCGAACCACCTATCCCATCAGACGAGCTCCACAGCTTGCTCGTAAAACCAAAGGATGCCTACTGACTGACCCAACCTGACGTGGATACATTCTGCACGTGGTGTGGAGGCCAACTGACAGCACATGAAATTTGGACAAGACTACTGAAATAAGGAGAATTTCTCATTGGCATCAAAGCGCGCGAGGGTATCTGACAATCTACAGAGAACTAACTCACTGACTGGCGGAGAGTGAGCAAGTGCCTCGACCCTCTGCTTCGGATCGGTAGACAGTGGGCGCGTGTCAATCATGGGCATCGTTGACCGCATCAAGGAGATCGGTGCGTGGCTGTTGCTACTGACCAGTTGCTCATCGCGCGGCTCCTTCGCAGTCGTTAGACGTGGCAAACAGACTGGAGACCTAACGTCCAGGACTTGTGTGTGTATACGTGTGTGTGACCTTTTGGTGTATACAAAATAATGTACTGCTGATGTTGCTGGTGCTGGTCAGAGGATGAGATGAAACGGACGCAGATCAACAAAGCCACGGAGAGTCATCTCGGGCGTCTCAAGGCCAAGCTGGCCAAGCTACGCACGGAGGTGCATCGTCAAGCGCTCCGCCGAGTCTTGCGGTCCCCGTACATTCTCTGATGCTTTGCTTGTTATATTCATACACCGCACGACTGGAATTCGATGGAGTTTACAGCTTCTCGAGGAAGGAAAGTCGAGCAGTGGCGGCGGCGAAGGTGTGCGCGAACGTTCAAGCTGTTCGAGCTTCAGTTCGATATAGTTTCTGAGTCATGATTGTTCTTTGACCGGCAGGCTTCGATGTCGCTAAAAGTGGTGACGGACGTGTCGCCCTTATCGGGTTTCCAAGTGTAGGAAAGTCAACGATGTTGAGGTGCGCGGTGTGTGTGTTAAAGCCCATGCAAGCAGACAGTGCCACGCTGACTGACACGTGGCATGCTTTGCGAGGGAACAGTCAGCTGACGGACACCCAGTCGGAGACGAATGCAGTGGAGTTCACCACGTTGACGTGCATTCCCGGCAACTTGATCTACAACGACGTTCGTATTCAGGTGCGTTTCGATTGAAGCCGATCCCATGTCACGGGGCAACACTTGAATCTGCGTTCTTTACTCCTATTTCGTACACTGCAGTTGCTCGATCTACCAGGAATTATAGAAGGAGCTGCGCATGGACGAGGACGTGGGCGGGAGGTGATTGCTGTGGCGAAGTCCGCCGACATGATCCTGATGGTGCTGGATGCCGGCCGAGAGGCAGGCAACCGCCATCGAGAGATTCTGGAAAACGAACTCGAAACTGTCGGATTGCGCTTGAACCGACAGCCACCTGACATTTACTTCCGAAAAAAAATGGTGGTGGCATCACGTTTAACAGCACCCTGCGCCTGACGAAGGTGCGAAATTGTTACGGATGTCGGTTCGCTAGTGTTATTTGCTCAGATTTGAATGTACTGCACCAGCTGGGGGATGATCCGTATCTGACGGTGTACAAGATTTTGCATGAATACAAAATTCACAACTGCGAGGTGCTATTCCGCGAGGACTGCACCACGGACGATCTGATTGACGTGATTGAAGGCAACCGAAAGTATGTGAAGTGCCTGTACGTGTACAACAAGATTGATGTTGTGTCGATTGAAGACGTCGACCGACTGGCGCGCATGCCAAACTCGACTGTGATCGCTTGCGCCCACGAAGATCGCCCTGCGGTTCGTTCCTTTCTTTCGTATTCATATCATACATGCACAATGTACTAACTCTACATGTGGCTTTACGGCTCAGCTCAATTTCGACACACTCTTGGCCAAAATGTGGGACTATATGGGGCTGACACGCGTGTACACCAAGCGTCGTGGGGAGGTACGATACAACATATGTTATCACGTTGATATGTCGCTCGCTACTCATTTGCAAGCTGTCAATATGCAGGCTCCTCAATTTGAGGAACCAGTTGTTCTTGGCTCGGAGCGGAAAGGTGTCAGCGTGCAGTCTGCGTGCATGTCGGTAAGGATTGATAATGTAGTACTGGAAATGTTCTCGACATACTATTCTCACTACCAATGTGTTGTGTAGATTTCAAAAGACATGCTGGACAACTTTAACTATGCCTTGGTGTGGGGCACGAGCACAAAGTACAACCCGCAACGTGTTGGCAAAGAACACCTGCTCTGTGACGAGGATGTGCTGCAAGTTATAGTGAAGACGGCCAATCAGCAGAAGCGCGACAAGAACTACAATCAGAAGGTGCAGGCGTACTTCGACAAGTACAAGAAGAAAAAGAAAGCGCTCAAAACCTAGAGCTGCATATGGTCTTGTTTGGAGATCATTTGTCGTCGGGAATAGTCTGAGACAACAACATGCAATGTTAAACGTAAAAAGACAATTGCATGCAGCCATGTATCCGTTTAGACCGTCTGTCGAGCACAGAAACGGGTTGACAGTGCTTACGAGTTCCCGATGGCGTGTAATGTCCTATCTACACGATACTCACTCTGTCGCCAATTGAACGGCAAAATGTTCGGTTGACTTGAAAATCGTGCGAACGGAAGGTTGACTCCACAATCTTGTTGACAAGTCTGTAAGTTCATCCCGGGTAAGCTATCACGCAGGCTGTCTCTTCGTTCGATGAAGGTGTCAGCACTTGTCGACCTGACGGTATCGTGGACTAATCGTGTCAAACTGATTGTCGTCACGTAATGCATGTAAAGCGACTAGCAGGTCTATGAATCAATGCGATAGTGTTCCCGCCGGCCCGATGGCAACTACATAGATGGACTCGAAGGTATGAGCTCCAGTAAAAATCATGGTGATTTTCAGATACAACCTCGGGCATCGGAGAGTCGTTGTCATAAATTGCTGCTCCGTTCACGCCATAGTGACCCTTAGCTTGACCGTTACGGGACACGCTTCGGCGTGCTACCTTCAATTTATTATGATGACGGTACTTACAAGCTGTGATGTACGTCAGATAGAGGCAAAAGTGCCGAGAAGTGCCGATAAGCGCCTACTCGTCTTACTTGCCCGATCACGACAATGACAGAGATGTCAAAAAAATGACAGCTGTAATACGGTGGTGAAGACGTCAAAGTGGGAAAAGTCTCTGGGTGTGGGTCTGGGATGTCAAGATAAGTTCCGAAAAGATGCACACAACAGTGATCTTCTGTAAGGGGGTGAGCCTGTTACATGTCATTGGCACGAGTTGTGTCAATGTAAACAGTATCTGAACAGATATATTCTACAATAGTTCTCTTGCGAGTCAATTTTAAAGTCACATTACCTTCCGAGGTAATGCTCGGCACCGCTTCACAATTGGTTGATATCGGCAATGATGTCAATCAACTGAATCACCGATCACTGCTAGACGCGCAACGAGTGGTGAGTGAGAATCTGCATCGGAAGCTATAGTTTATAATCGTGTAAGTAAGATATCGAACGAGTATCAACGAAGACTTGACCATACTAAATATATAGTTTTGCTTTCCTT